ATAATCAGATCCATGGTTTTCAACTTAACTTTCAAATACTAGTTCATGTTCATCATCATCATCATCTATTTCGTAAGTTACAAAAACTGAAAACTGAAAAACGAAATGGTTATCTAATGATCCTTTAGAAATAAACTTCATTTTAAACCGTTATGATTAAATAAAGCAATGTAACATTGTAAAAGTGTTTACGCACTGATCTTGAATACGTTATAAGATATACAATGTGATCAGATGTTGCATCCCTTCTCCAGTGATCACTAATGCTTCCAAAGGCGTTGGAAAGAAGTGCTTCAATCAATTAGAAGGTCAAAGGGGTCAATACAAAACAACAGACCGTATATAAAGTTCCAAAAGAAATAGGAAGGAAAAAAAACCTGTTAAGGGCGACATGCGAAATGTTTGCATAAGAAATAGGGTTTAACATATGACCAGAAGCTACATTTAAAAAAAATATTCCGTATGCTTAGCAAGGGGTTTATTGATTTGTTGGTTAAGAATATCATTTCTTAAACCCGAGTTATAAAGTTCGAATCCACCTTGCTTGTGTAAAGAACAAAACAAAAAAGCGAATGCTTAAAAATTAAATGAAAGAAGACTTACAAGCAATTGATAAATATATACCTGCAATTTTGTGGGACGGTCCATAAAACATGTAATGTATCATTGGTTTTGCGAGGCGATGACATGTAATTTCTCCATGCGAGGAATTGACATGTAATTTCTCCATACTTGCAGCAAAATTTAAGATCATTGACTTTGTTATCGAGACCAACACAACAATTAGCATGCATCGTGCAAACTTGATTAAAATTCTTACTGGGTTGACAAAAGCCACCAAAGTATAGTGTATCAAAAAACCTCATTTTCAGTCCAATCTCAGCAACAAAGGGATCAGATTTAATCCCATTTTGTACATCTTGTTCGTGTTTTCTTGGATACGTGTTTCTGGAAAAGTACCAAAACTTATAAAATAGAATAGTCCGATCATTGGATTTTGCATAGGAAAATCCAGTGTTGGGTGAAATTTTCTCACTGTAAGAATCACCTGTGAAGTTATCACAAGAAATTTGAAGATCGGTATCTCTGGATTGAATTGTGAGAATGGATTTCGAAGCCACATTATATCATTATCCTGTACATTCCAATATCACATGCATGCAACAAAATCAACAACAGTTAAAATAAATTGGCAGCTAACTTTTTTTTTTCCTTTCTTGATATTGTAAGTTTTGGGAAAGTAAGCAAAAATTGAATAGGAATTACTGTAAGAGTACATTGTAGCAATGGTCATTCAACTAAAAATCTATTACTATTGGTCCATTAACTCATCAAAACGTGTAGCTATGGTCATTGTCGTTAACTTTGTTGGAATTTTGTCAAAATGAGTTATTTTGGAAGGACCATTGCTACAATTGGGTTAAAGTTAAGGGATCATTTCTCTAATTGGGTTAAAGTTGAGGGACAATTTCTCTAATTGGATTAAAGTTGAGGGACTATTGATAATTGATTTTTAGTTGAGGGACCATAGCCGCACGTTTTGATAAAATGAGGGACCAATGGTAATGAATTTTTAGTTGAGAGACTATTACTACAATTTACTCTTACCGTAATGACAAAGCTATAGCCTTTCTCGAGAATAAGAGATATAGACTGGACTTTTCCCCACGTTATCTGTAAGTAGTTTGAAGACGTAAAAACTGCCTCGTGGGTAAAGTTGGCACCTTGAGTTTTGAGTTGATAACAATGAGGGAGCAACGCTAGGCAACGAGCATATGCTTTTTCGTCCAAGCAGATGACTACAAAATGTATGAGCAGCCATTTCGTTTTACTTCCGATCTCGAAACTCTCTAGAAATAGTTCTAATATTGAATTGGGTTCTTCCCATGCATGCACCATTCAACTCAAATGTTATAATAGCTTTGTCCTTCATGCATGCATTTTTCAGAACTTTATCCAAAGGATCCTTCTCCTCCAGCTGCTTGCCCTGCGTGCACCGGTAACCATGCATGCATGTGTTATGTGTACGTACGTACTTAGGTACTAAAGTAATCAATTTATTTGTGTTTGTAGAGTAGAAAGTAAAATGGGTTAATCCGTGAGAGAGAACTAATTAGTAATTAATTAAGCGGACTACTGTACTCGCCTGCTGAGAGGGAGGGGTTGTGGTTCTGCAGGAGGGGAGGTGTGGTGTCACTGCCAAGGCATCATAACGAGATCCAGGAGGATACACAAAATTGTAGCCAATAAAGCAACCGGTAACAGCTGCGGCAGCCATAAAAACCAGTGTCGTCCACATATTAATCCTCTTCTCAGTAACATCGAAAACCACCGAGTTCCTCATTCTTGATGCTTTTTCAATTACAAATTCACTTCTTGTTTTCTCTTGGATAATTGGGTTGCAATTTGGCAAACACACACACACACACACACACACCACATCTTGGCTTTCCTGCTTTTCACAGCTAGCTAGCTAAACTAAGGCTATCACCAACCTAAGGAGGGTCAGAGGGCTTCCTTTAGCCCTATAGCCCTAAAAAAAAAATTAATATTTTAATGAACAATACTATGTCATATTTCTTACCATCTCCAACCAAGGGGGCCAAAGGGTCATAGGCCAAACATAGCCCTGTGACAAAAAATTATCTCCAACCGAGGGGGCCAAAGGATCATAGGCTAAACATAATTTATTATTTTAATTTAAATATTACAACTTAAATATTAAAGACTACAACAACTTAAATTTAAAGACTATAATCATCATCATCATCATCATCATCTGCCATTGTAGGAGTATAGTAGGATGTAAACAACTCCCGTCGGGCCATAATTTCCCTTTTTTCTATCAAAATAAGCCTTACTCATTAGAGTGTAATCCGAAGTGTTCATTTGCATATTCCTATCATCCATCTCTTCTTGTATTTGTTTGGCTCGTTCTTCGTGCCTACGGTTCCCATCTTCTGCGGCAATGACATTTTGCTTTGCCATTAATCGCAATGAGACCGCCATTTCCTGTTGAAAGGGTAATCATCATTTGCCTTGCCATTTTCCTTCAATTTTCGAGCCTTGTTTCATCCCCTAGCCCTAGGTATGGAACCTTCACCCAGAGACGGATTTTCAACCCTTATTTCTTGAATGGTAGGAGATCCATCTTTATCCCCATCTGCATTTGAGGATGCATTTTCGAACACCGGCATAGGACCAATTCTTTGTTGAGGTGGATCTTCAAATAACACCCACCCATTACAAATTTCCCAACAACCGTGATGACTAAAAGGTTTAGAGTTGTCCTCCATATAAAAATCCTCCGCTTGGTGTACTTAGAAAATATAATTACAAAAATTAAAGGAAATTAATTTATGAAATTAAATGTAATATAATTAAATATTTAAAATAAGTTGTGAAAACGCTTACTTCGTTGTAGTAATTGGCTCCGCTTTCATGTCTGCTTGCGGCCTTTAACACTGCTTGATGCCATTTATTCAAACTTGGATGAAAATGTTTCTTCCATCTTAAATAACAACTCTCGTAGTTTCGGGAATTCGGTGGAGTGGTGCCTTCGTAGAACTCATAGTATTTTTTGAATGTACGAGTCCAAACACCTTCACTTGTTCGAGAACTCCCCCTCACACTATCTTCCGAGACCCATCTATAAGTCATGCAAAGAGCTTCATCTTCTTTTTCGGTCCAAGCCCCACCTTTCATTGCAGATGTGGTCATTTGAAAATTATTGAAAAAATTGAAGGAAAGATTATTGGAAGTGGTAAGAGAATAGAATGTAAAAAATTGAAATAGAATGAAGTAAGATAGTATGGAATGATGAAAATTATGTGAGAAATGATGTAGGAATAGCTTAGGTATTTATAGGAAAAAATTTGGAATTTTTTATTGCTTTTTTAAAAAAATTTATCCGGAAAAAAAAAATTAATTCAAATGACCCGAGGTTGGCTGGCTGGCATTTGGGCCAGCCGATTTGCCTGATTTGGTATTTTTGGCCCGGTGGGGCCCACAGACCCTTTGGCCTAGCCCTCGATTGGAGACAGTTTTCATGTCATTTCAGACTATTTTTAGCCCTATGACCCTCTGACCGGATCGGTTGGAGATGGCCTAAGCTAACTAGAGTAGTCATTTACCGTTTGGTTAGGTCAGAACCGACTGCAGCAGCAATTTTGTTTTTAGTGGGTTGCGTCGAAACTGCGAGATTTGATTGGCAGACAATTGTGGCATTGAATTTTCGGATAGGAAACTCTAATTTGTACATTTCAAGTTGCAGGTTCGAAGTCGAAGTAGACATTACGAAAGTCCCATTTTCGTAGTGTCAATTTTTTTTAGGTTTGGGTTTCAAGGTTTGTGCTTCAGATAGAAGAGTATATAAAGGAAAGAAGAAGAATGGATGAAAAATGGGGATGGAAGAGCGGGAAAGGGAAAAGAAATGATTATTGAAAACAAAATCTTAAAAGTGAAAACAACTTAATATAGTTTTTTTGTATCAAATTAAGCCACCGCCTTCAAAATGATAGATTTTGTACCTATTTTTATTTTCGTAATCTTCTTGCCAAGACTTTGACAAATTATCTATTGCCAAGGCATACAATCAATGTTTTTAATCATGCTAGAAAAATGTTTACTCTTAACTTTCTTCATAAATTTTCAAAGGTCCATTATCTCATATAGAATTTTGATTGGTTGACAGAACATCGCCAACAACTCTAGGACGGTGGATTTCTACATTCCTGTGATCTCATCCGTTTAAGAATTGTCATAGTTTAACTCCACCTATTTAAGAATTTCTCTCAGTATAAAGTGTGAGGAAAAAAAGTGTGAAAATTGTACCGCATCGGTGTTACTAATCTATTTCATTTTATTAATCTAAACTACGCTTCTGGTGGATAATATTTGTGAAAAAATTGGACTTCTACATTAGGTATCCATCCCTTTTGATTTGTACATTTCAAAGTTGCATACTATTTGAAGTTGAAATAGACATTACGCAAAGGTAATCCATAAATTAATGGTGGCATATTCCTTTCACTAATTCACTTTAGATAACTTGGAAAAAGCAAAACAGTTGCAAAATAAGTTTTGTAATAATGTAACGAGCAAGATATAAGTTTTGTAATAGTATTTCACGAGCAAGATGAAATATATTTGATTGCCAGGGAGGAATTTTCATCGTTGAATTTAAGCCTCTTTTTCTTCTACCTGAAGTATATACATGAAAAAGTAGAACTATAAGCGTTAGATTCATGCATGCATGGGATGATTTTCGTATCAAGTTTCAAAAATATTTGGTCATCAACGTAACATTGTATAAGATTTACCTGCAATTAAATGTTTAGAAAGCTCCACAGATTGGAATAATCTTTTTATAGTTTCACTCCCTAGTCTGGTTACTATGCTTCCAACGGCGTTGGAAGGAAGTGCTTCAAGTCAATCAGATACTCAAAGGGGTCAATATACTAAAAAAGATATAAAAACTGTTGGCATGAGAAATGGGCTAACAGAAGATTCATAACCGATGGATAAAAAATTTACCTGCAATTTTGTGGGACGGTCCACACAGCTTGTGATGTGCCAGTAGCATTATGAGGCGATGACATGTATTTTTTCCAAACTTGAAGCAAAGCTCTAAGATCGTTCACTTTGTTTTCAAGACCAATACAACAATTAGCATGCATTGTGCAAACTTGGTTAAGGTCCTCACTTGGCTCACAGAATCCACCAAAGTATTTTGTATCCAAGAATCTCACTTTCAATCCAATCTTGCCAATGAAAGGATCAAATTTAATCCTATTAAGCACTTCTTGTTCATTCGTTTTTGGATACGTGTATTTGGAGAGGTACCAAAATTTGTAAAACCCAATAGTCCGATCATTGGATTTTACATTGACAAATCCACAATTGGGAGCATTTTTAAAACTATAAGAATCACCCATGAATTTATCAGCTGCAATTTGAAAATCTGCATCGGGATAGAATTGTGGGAATGGATCTCGAAGCCACATTATATCGGTATCCTGTTCATTAATTTCACTAAATAGTTCATGCATGGAAAAGTAAGCAAAAATTGGAAGAAATTAAGGACTAAGAAAAATACCGTAAAGATAAAGTTGTAGCCTTTGTCGAGAATGGAAGACAAAATCTGGGTTCTTCTCCACATCATTTGTAAGTAATCGGGGGTTAGATAAAATACCTCGCCGGTAAAGTTGGCACCTTGAGTATAAAGTAGGTAACAATGAGGGTGTATCACTAAACAACGAGCATATGCTGTTTGGTCCACGCAGATGACTAGCAAATGCTTGAGCAGCCATTTCGTGTTACTTCCGATGTTAAAGCTTTCAAGAAAGAGATCAAATATTGAATTGGGTTCTGCCCATGCATCATTTAACGTAGTTATTATAACTGTTTTGTTCTTCATGCATGCATTTTTCAGAATTTTATCCAATGGATCCATATTATCCTCCAGTTGGTTGCCCTGCATTTTTTCAGAACTAAAGGTAAATTATTTTACCACACATATATAATAACAATAAAATGTGCCTAATGTATGTAATAATATATGTAAAATAATTTACCTACAACATAAAATATGTCATTTAGTTCAATATTTAATTTACCTATATTTCACATAGATATAGGGAATTTATGTATCTATTTGAAAATGAGTGAGGATCCTCGCAAGATCCTGTTTGTAAGGATCTCGGTGATTCTCAAATCACATCCATTCATCGTACATTAAGATGTTAGAAATTATTTTTTAATTTAAAATTGAATATAAACAGTACATGACGAAAACTGACCGCATGATGTTCGATGAACAAATGTGATTGGAGGATCCTCTCTCTTTGAAAATAAAGGATGTCATATGTCACTTGGTTAAAAAAAATATAGACAAATTATTTTTATGAAGATTTTTTTTTGTCAAACGGTAGATTTTGTTAAATTATATGTTAGATTAGCCACCAACGAAATTTGAACTCATGTCGTTATGAAAAAATTCAACACCTTTCTACCATTGTGATAAAGAGCCACTTGCATGAAGATTAAAATACCAATTTGAAATACATTTTTATTTTATTTTTCATAAGGAATATATTTATATATTTAATAAATAAAAAAAGAACATATATATGTACGTATAGTCTATAAAAATGAAATTTTGAACTGTGTGTTGACTAAACAATTACTAAAGCATAATGTACCTACGAATTGAATTTTTGTTTTTTTAGTAAAATGATACATTTTACACGGATTGAGAGTTCGGTTAAATCATATAATTAACCATTTTGGTATCAAATTCGTCATCTACTAGATTCGTACTTTAGATCTCTCATTTACAAGTGAAAATAAATAACATTAGATCATAGTATTTTAAATGCTTGAAAAAAAACCGAAAGAAACTAGATCAAATTTAAGATTTCATCATTATAGGTATTAATAAAGTTTACTGACACAACTAGGAAATAAAAATTGCAATAACATCCGTCTAATGAACCCATAAGTTGATTTGTGGAGTAGAAAGCAAAAGGGATTAATTAGTGAGAGATAAGTAATGAATAAGAGGACTAGTGTACTCGCCTGCTGAGGTGGAGGGATTGTGTTTCTGCAGGAGGGGAGGCGTGGTGCCAAGCCATCATAAAGAAATCCAGGAGGATACACAAAATTGTAGGCGATAAAGCAACCGGCGACAGCTGCTGCCGCCATAAACACCAGCGTCGTCCGTACATTAGTCATCTTCCTATATATATATATGCCAAACTGGCGACAGTTTCTCATTCTTGATGCTTCTTCAAACTTATTAACTTCTTCATCTATTGGATAACTGGGTTGGTAATAGATATGCCAAACTGCGTTAGACTTGGTCCCTTACCTATATATATACATATACATATATATACATACATACATACATATATATATATATATAAGTGTAGTATTTAATTTATATGGATTTTTTCTAAAATCAAGAATCATGTGTAAGCTTGCTGCGAATAGCAGGAAGGCTAACTAGACTAGTCATTACGCACAATAGTATTAATATAATGGCCTCTACTCTAAAATAGTATTAGTACAGCGTCAAAGTCCGAGATTGAATCCGTAGACAACTCGGGCATTGGACTTTCGGATATATAGGGATATTATTTTTTACATTTCAAGTTGCAGGTTACAAGATGGAGCAGGCAATAGCATTACGCAAGTCCCAATTTCTTAGTTCAAATAGTTACCAGACGGGCTCTAAATAATTTGTAATTTTCATTTTGTGTGCTTTTTGTTGTAAATATCTTCTACGTCTCTCCTATTGATGAGTATATTTTATATTATATATTTTACCCTATTTTTAGTATATTTTGGTTAATACTTTGAAAGAATTTTGATACTTTAAATTGTATTTTCAATATAGGACTTTCGACTTTCTTTGGAGCAAAACAAGACCAAATGGACGAATTTTGGAGTAATTCCGGTTGGAGGACGTTCGTGAGTCACTTAGCTTGATCGTATCAAAATTTGGGATTTTTCCACCACCCATCATCCTTCATCCATTCTTCCTTATCCCTCTTATTTTCTCTCTATTAGTAATTAAAAAAAAACTATAAAAAAAATTGAACTAAATGGTTATCAAACATCGTTTTTTTACTTTTCCTTTTTGATAATGTAAGATGATATGTGTACTTGTGTGGCCTTTGGTGTTCATGCATGGCCATATGGGAGGAAGGAAGTTGCGTATCGTTATGATTTTGTTGTACAACTGGAAATCATGACCCTTGTATAAAACAAGTACTATAAACAGGGATGTGTGATGTAATCCTTTTCTCTACATATTTTTTTTGGTTTTTTAACTAAAATAATTCCTGAGATTTGCATAACACATCACTTTAGTCACTGAGATTGAAAATCAATAGAAATGGTCCCTGAGATTATCCACCATCCATTATTTTGGTCATTTCATTAAAAACTCCGTTAAGTGTTTCTGAGCTCTTGGCTGGAAGTTTATACAATTTTCAAAGCTTCGTAACTCAATCGTTTCTTATCAAATTCAACCTATAATATATCAAAATGAAGATAGGAAAGTGTAGAACAAGATTATACCTATTTGGAAGCACAATGGTTGCCGGAGATGGCCGGAAAATAGCCTAAAAGGTGACTAATCTGGGGAAAAACTGAAAAACTAGCCGGAAACTGGGTAAACTTTAAACGTTCATAACTTCTTCAATACTCAACGAAATCGAGTGATTAAAAAACGAAAATCATACTTCTAGACGAGACAAAGAGAATGGTACCTTTCTTGATGGCTAACTCGCCGTAGTTTGGTAGAAAAACGGCTCGAAAGTGGCCAATTCGAGACCAAGACAACCACTTTCGAGACTTTTTTGGCCAAACAACGATGAATTAGCTGTCTAGAAAGGTACCATTCTCTTTTTCCCGTTGAGAAGTATGATTTTCATTTTCGAATCATTCGATTTCATTGAGTATTGAAGAAGTTATGAACGTTTAAAGTTTACCTAGTTTCCGGCGAGTTTTTCAAATTTTCCGCGGACCAGTCACCTTTTAGGCTATTTTTCGGCCATCTCCGGCAACCATTGGGCTTCAAAATAGGTATAATCGTGTTCTACACTTTCCTATCTTCATTTAGATATATTATGGGTCGAATTTGGGTAAGAAACGATTGAATTACGAAATTTTGAAAATTGCCCAAACTTCCAGTCAAGAGCTTCGGGACACTTAACAGAGTTTTTAACGGAATGACCAAAATAATAGATGGTGGACAATTTCAGGGACCAAAGTGATGTGTTATGCAAATCTCAGAGACAATTTTGACTAAAAAGCTTTTTTTTTTTTTTTTTGTAAAATTCTTTTCTCTACATTTCATTGTTTCCTCTACCCACAAAATTAAAAATAAAAACCCTGACAAAAAAATGAATAGTAATAATAATAATAATAATAAAAAGGTAAGAAAATGAAAGAGGAGTGCAAAGGGCAAATGAGTCAGTTTTGTATTGAACAATTTTATATTAAGATGACATGATAATTGATCACCAAGGTACCATTTCCATCGCCCCCTACCTGAAATAACAACATAAAATACAAAACGTCAGATCCATTCTTCTTAAATCATTTTTCAATTTGGAAAAGTCATAAACAATGCAATATTGTACATGTGTTTTCCAGCTAATCTTGTATACATGTTAGATATGTATGGAGGCCAATTTAATTAAGGAGAAATTAGGTTTATATCCATATTTTTTCAACTCCATTGATTAAAATCTTATTCATTTTTAACCTTTGATCAAAGTCCCTTGGTTTTAATAAACATCATTAATTGTTTCCATAATTAAATATTTTACATGCAAAATAATTAAATTTTATTTCTAAATATATTCATTTAGTGTTAGAAACGTTACATTTGATATTGTATATATATATATACTTATGGCTAAATTTTGTATCATATATTTTTATGTTTAGTTTGTACCCAATTTAATTTGCAACCCTTTTTTTTAAATTGTACCAATTTTCTTTTCAGTTATAGTTTGTACCCATATATTAATTTCTTTTTGTGTCCATATTTTTCAAACTTTTATTTTTACACATTTTTTTAACATTTTTTTTGTACCAATAATTTATTGATAATGTCCTCATTTGTCTTTAAAAATGTTCCACTTTGTTATATGTAAAATATACCAATTTTGTTTTTGTAAGTTCCATTTTTTATGTAAAATGTATCCATTTTTTAATGTAAGATGTATTTATATTTTTACTCTAAAATGTACCCATTATTTTGTATATAATATATTAATATGTACCAATTTTTTCATCTAAAACATACCACCTGTTTTGTATAAAATGTATCAACTTTTTGTATGTAAATTGTATAGCATAAAAATTACCATTTTTTATATGTAAAATGTCATTAATATAAGTAATGGCAAATAATGAGTTTTATTTAAATATAATATATCTTAATGACAAATCATGTCTGTCACATCCCGGCCTGGGGCCACCACATCTCGGGCCCGTTCCACCACCATAGCACGATATTGTCCGCTTTGGGCTTACCATTCCCTCACGGTTTTGTTTTTTGGAACTCACGAGCAATTTCTCAGTGGGTCACCCATCCTGGGAGTGCTCTGGCCTCATTCTCACTTAACTTCGGAGTTCCTACGAAACTCGAAGCTAGTGAGCTCCCAAAAAGCCTCGTGCTAGGTAGGGATGAAAATATACATTTAAGGATTACTCCCTGGGCGATGTGGAATGTTACAATCCACCCCCCTTAGGTCCCCGATGTCCTCGTCGGCACACTTCCGGCCAGGGATTGGCTTTGATACCATTTGTCACATCTCGACCCGGGTCCATCGTATCCCGGGCCCGTTCCACCACCGTAGCACGATATTGTTAGCTTTGGACTTACCGTTCCCTCCCGGTTTTGTTTTTGGGAACTCACGAGCAACTTTCCAGTGGGTCACACATCCTGAGAGTGCTCTGGCCTCATTTTCGCTTAACTTCGAAGTTCCTACGGAACCCGAAGCCAGTGAGCTCCCAAAAGACCTCGTGCTAGGTAGGGATGCGAATATACATTTAAGGATTACTCTCCTGGGCGATGTGGGATGTTACAATGTCATTAAGATAAATTATACATTTTTATATAAGTATAATTTATTTTTTAATATTTTCGACCCATCAAATCATGGATTTTATTTAAAATCTCATTAATATAAGTAATTACAAATATCAAATTTAATTTAAAATTATAATAACTTACATAGAAATGCAATATTGTATTCATTTCAGGGACTCCAATCAAAAACTAAAAATTAACAAAGTTTCAATTAAAGAACGTTGATAAATAAGAACTGCATCCAAAGTCATCATTTAATTAAATACATATATATGTACACATATACATATACGATTTACCAATTGCGATGAATTTTGTGCAATTTCCTTTCCCTTCTCCTCCTGTCACGAGTGCTTTCCAAGGCGTTGGAAGGAAGTGCTTCAAGCCAATAACAAAGTCGAAGAAAAAAGGTTCAATATTTTAAACGACAAATCGTATACTTCTAGAAGAAACAAATATAAAAAAAAAGTCAAACCACGTAAATCTAGAAGAAAATGTTTAAGAATAGTAAAAATTTATTTCCCTCAATTTCATCATCGGCGGGACCCATCAGACGGCCGGGAACCCACATACGATGCGACTGCTGCACCAATGCGGAACAAGTTCTAGAAAATGTTTTGGATAAAAAACTCAACATACGATGACCAGTCGTATTTACCCAAACAAAAGAAATAGAGACAACTACACATACATTCAAAACCAATTTGAAGTTTTTATAGATGATTTCAGTTTGTAGTTTTAGCTTGGTGAGGTAACAAACAAGACTGAAATTTTAAATTATAGTTTGCTTTTTTTCTTTTATTAGGTTTGTTGGGATTTGAACATTCGTCTTTCTTTAAAATGATTCAAAATTAGCGAAATTTTATGAAATTTATCTTGTGTTTTTGTCTACATAGGTAAAGCTTCCCAAAAAATAACAATTCAAAAAGTCAAACAATTTTAAATAAGGGGAAAGTAATTTTCACACACTTTTTCTAATTTCTCATACACTCTCTTTATTTATGGTCATCAGATTGAATAAATCAAACGAAACTAATAATCAGATTAAATAAGAATGTATAAAAAACTAAAAAATAGTGAAAATCACCTAGACAAATAAAATAAGAACAAGTCCCAACTCAATATGATCGATAATATATTATATATACCTGCAATTTTGTGGAACGGTCCATGAAAGTTGTGGCTTGGCAGTTGTATTAGGAGGTAAGGACATGTACTTTCTCCAAACTTGTAGCAAAATTTTAAGATCATTGACTTTGTTTTCGAGACCAACACAACAATTGGCATGCATTGTGCATACTTGGTTGAAGTCCTTACTAGCCTGGCAGAACCCACCAAAGTATAGTGTATCCAAGAACCTCATTTTCAATCCAATTTGGGTGAGGAAGCGATCAAATTTGATCTTGTTGAGAACGTCTTGGTCATGCTTCTTTGGATACGCCTTTCTGGAGAAGTACCAAAACTTATAAAATTTAATCGTGCGGTGGTTTGATTTTACATAGGTAAACCCTCCATTGGGAAAATTATTTACGCTGTAAGAATCACCGTTGAAGAAGTCACATGCAATTTGAAAATCTGCATTTGAGTAGAATTGTGGGAATGGATCTCTTAGCCACATTATATCAGTATCCTGTGCATCCAATATTGGAAAGAAAAAAAAAAGTTAAGTAAAAGTTGGATACATATATAGGTAGAATAGTAGTGAAGGACAATGGAAAATTAGGAATATTGGATTAAGGGAATTACCGTAAAGACAAAGTTGTAACCGCTGTCGAGAATAGAAGACAAAAGTCGGATTCGTCTCCACATCATGTCCAGGTACTCGGAAGACATAAAAGTAGCCTCGCTGGTGAAGTTGGCACCTTGAGTGTAGAGTTGGTAGCAATGAGGGTGTGACGCCAAGCAACGGGCATATGCTTTTCTGTCCAAGCATATGACTACCAAATGCTTAAGCAACCATTTTGTGTTACTTCCAATCTCGAAACTCTCTAAAAAGAGATCGAATATTGAATTGGGTTCAGCCCATGCATCATTTAGGGTAGTTAGTATAATTGTTTTGTCCTTCATAGATGCATTTCTGAGAACTGTATCCAATGTATATTCTAGAGTGGTCTGTATCATCAAAGATCAAATCAAATTATTGGTCTATGTAATGGCATTGCATAACCCCAACCCCTACGCCTGAGGGATTGTCCGATAAGGTTTTTCGTACAGAGCAACTCAAACACATATGAGATCAATCAGGTTAGGTGAGATAAAATTATACAGGTTTTCATAACCATGTGAGAACGGTCGAGCATACCCGGTGGTACGGCAACTTGACCCAAGATTTTTCATTGGGCCCCGACCCGGAGGGGAGTAAGTGTGCCAGTACACACGACAAGGACAGCCATTACATGTGTAAAAGCATTAACCCGTTTTTGAGTCATGTAGCATCCACAATTACAGGATAAAAAAGAAAAGTAGTATATACAAAGAGAGATAGCTAATTATAAAATATGGGTAAAATCCGAATTAAATTGGTTGAGAAAACAAAAATTGGCATGGATCGATGCGTAGAGCGAAAGGTAATGATCTTAAAACTTTGATTAATGTGAGCAAACAGAAACAAAAAGTCTACTATTTGGACAAGTATTATTAGAATTCCAGAAACGCAAATTGACTTCTCTCTCTCTCTTCGCCATTGAAGATTATGAAACATATATCGATAAACATAATTATCTGAGTGCCAAATCCTTTATAATTATGTATATATTGATTTCAGATTAGCTAGCATACAACAAAAATATATTGTTTTACCTAATTTGCTCCAAGAGTCTACAAGTAATTACCACCACTTTGATTTTTTATATCTGTAATCGAACGTTATCAGAAAAACTAATAAATAAAACATGCTGCTGTTGGAATATGCCGGCATTAATTATGAACTAAAATAACAAGCCTTCGGATGAACGCAAAATAGAACATGAGAGAGAGAGAGAGAGAGAGAGAGAGAGTACTGGCCTGATGAGAAGACAAACCGTTGTCATAATAGGATCCGAGCAGAAATCCGGAGATGATAAAGCAACCCACAGTGGCTGCCACAAACAGCAACGTCGCCCTTAGAATCCTCTTCACCACCAACGCTCGGTTACTGCAGCCTGATGATCCTTTTCCACCGTTGGATGATGGTGACGATGGTGATGATGATATTGGCAATTTCATCATATCATTCTCGCTAACATAATTTCCAGCTGCTTCATCTGCCGATAATTTGCTCATTCTTACTTCCCTCTCTCTCTCGCTCGCTTGCTTTTGGAGTCGGACTGTCGGATGGATATAATTCGGCAAACTCCGCCTCGAGTCTTAATTCCCTGATTGTTTTGCTACTACGAGATGTCAACTTGTATTACCTGCCTGCCTGCCGGCCTGCCTGGCTAATTGTTTCTTCCGCTGAGCCTTATTATCCTTCGGTTAATATGTACCTTTTAATTAAGACCTCTAAAGCTCTAGAATCTACATAAAGGAATAAAATTAATAATTTTTCATATATAAATTGAAAATTGAAGAGATGACCTCCATAGCTTGTACCAGTCCACTAGGTAAGGTAAGTACTAACTAGGGTTAGTCCATCTATATATACCGCACGCAAGCATCTGCATATATATAATAAATTAATAATGTCCACCCCTGGAACAATTTACATATAATTCTAGTTATTATCGAAATATATATAATTATAATTTTACCAGTAAATCATTGCACATAGCGGACAGACATTGAGGCCAGCCGCCAGGCCAGCATGGAGTTTAAATCAGCCTCTCCTCTTCCAAAATTCAAGGAATTAATATATCATGTCATGTCAAAAGCCTAAATGTATATTCTTTCACAAAATTAATCAATCAAAAGCCTTAAACAATTTCAAAACGAACTTGTTATGTGAAACCCATTTGGGGGAATGGATTTAATTTTTGGTTGCCAGTTGCCAAGTCAAACGATGCCCACACATAACATGTGTTGTTTTGGTGACCACTAGTCATTAGTCTAACATGAATCACAAGAGGGAACGTTGGGAATTGCATCAATAATAGAGAGAAGACTTTTCAAAATTTGGAGTTTTCTTTATTTTGTGCCCAATTCTTCAATTCAATTCAGCTGCAAGCCTGCATCCCATACTTCAACGCTATGTTCATTAATTTTCTGTCTAGTTTTGAAATTTCTTAATTTTGTGCCTAATTTTGCCATCTCTCCATGATGCATAGTATAGAATATTTAACACACTAAAACACTTAATTAGTTTTTTTTTTTTTATTACAATCGATATTACTGGTTTAAACTATACTAAGGCAATTCATCACTTAATGTTTTACTGTCTTTTGTTAATTTTATGTTCGCAGTTTTTAGGAAATATTTAGTGTTAGTAGTACAGCTCATTTCTGTCTTCGAGGTTAGCCTATGAACATGCATCTTCATCAAGAAAACCAATTTTATATCTTATTTTTCTATTTTGGATGTTTTTCGATGACGATGAGTGTATAATTATAATTATATTCTCTCAATTATATATAAAGATTCCTCAAAATATTCCCCTCATCCATCCACGAGCTTACGAAGAAAGCGTCCTCGTCGTATTTCGTCGGTGTCTTACCTCTTGGCTTTGATTTCTACGTCGATTTTTTAATTTTTTTAATTTTATTTTGGGGTTAATTTCCAACATTGATTACGAAAGGAAAGGTACCATTCATTGTGAATCACATAAATCAAGCATAACTTCCCTAAATAATTATTGTTCAATTTTATAAATTATAAATTTGCCTCTTCAAGATTTATTCTTAGGCCAAAGTCCAAACCCCGTTGATTGATTGATCATTGACAGAATATACACTTCGAAACTCGTTTCGTAATTTATTTACCAAAGAAACTGCTAAGAACATCATGTGTTTAGACTATATTTTGTAGACTAATGTGACGGTTGATGATTGAATTCTTTTTTTTTAATAATTTAATGAATTGAATTAAATGTACAAATCCAACTATCAACTGACACATTATATGATCTATAAAATATGATTCAAGTAAATAATTTTTCTAGCATCACCATTTGCCAAATTAGTCTAACACCTTTTTATTTTTTCACATACTAATCTATAAATTAGAATTGGAGTCCTGGAGATTTGGGGGGTTTGTATTAAGTCCTTTTATTTTTTACAACTGATGATATTATACATTAAAGGAGAGAGATTCAATTTCAGATTCAGATGGGAGAGTACATTACTCTAGTCAATTTAGTTATGCACATGTCTACAAATTTGTGTTACTTACGTAAAAAAAGTTACCTAACAAGGATGATTCTAAATTGTTTTCAACTTTTTAATACATTTTAAACAAATACCTAACGACTTGAGAATTATGCACTTGTTAAGTCACTAGCATTAAGTGTTGGTGATATGATTTCACCGTGTCTGTTAAAATTATTTGAATATTTGCCTTCATCAATTACAATGGTAACTTAATATATGTCTATTTTTTAAAACGTTAAATAATTACTAAAAATATTTTAAAATGTTGAGACTAATATCATCCTAAAATTAAATAGTTATTCATACTTAAGTTAAATAATTAAATGTTTAGACTTTTTATGTCCACTTGACCTAGTTTTTATTTTTCAAATTTTATCTCTGGTAACATTTTCTTAAAAAATCAAGAAGAGGTAGTGGCAATGCAAATGCATGTGGTATAGAGTGGCACGTGCACTGGCATGGTCGTCGTTTACCTCCTTGACTATCCACGGACAAGGATTCTATTTGAATCATCTTTGTGGGATCTAAAGATCAATTAATCATGTTTGTTTATCGTATATCGTGCTGTTAATTTTTGTTAGGTGCTATATTCAATTTTAAATTAAAATTTTAAAATAATTTATAACCGTATTATATACGATAGACAAACATGATAGATTGATCATCCGAATTCCCTAATCCGGAAAAGATCTTATTCTATTATCAATATATCTTTCTTAATCACGTCCAAAGAGTAAATTGCCACGTTAAAAACAAAGTGGTCCACCGTGGCCGAGGGTGGCAGTGCCTGGTGCCTGCCACTGCCAGCACAGCAGGACCCACTACTCATTTATTTCTTGGAATTTTTCCTCCACAAATTTAAATTTAAATTTTGAATTTTGGTGTGCAAGTGGAAATTGGAAAAGTAAAGAAGATTTAGTGGGGGATGATTGATTCAGTTTAGTTTCTGGTTTTAACGTTCAAAGTTATATTATTTGTGCAGGACCATTTCACAAAGTTGAATCAGTTGATGAGGAGGAGGAGGCCCTTAAAATCGCTATCAAATCAAGTTGATGAGGGGGGCCTTATCAAAATCGCTATCAAATCAATTACTGTAATATATATATATATATATATAAAACAGGATTTTATTTTTAATTACTGTGTGATTGTCAAATTTATTTTAGTAAGTTCGATTTTAACTTAGCCAATTTAATCACAATGTTTGACAATGTTTGCATCTTAGTCACTTTCGTTAACTTTCTATTAAAAATATAATACAATATTAATCCACCAATAACAATTGCTTATAAATTTTAAAACGCGTTTGAACTATAAAACGAGTAATGTTAAGAATATCATCTACTTAAATTATATTTTATAAATTGTATAACGTAATAACTGATAATTGAATTATTATTAAATTATTAACGAACATACTTATTTTTTATTAGTGCCATGTCACATTTGTAAATTTAATCTAAAAATTTATCCACCTAAACCCTGAAAACGCCAGGCCACCTTCCCCTCCCTTCCCCAGTCGTTCATCCACACCTCTCACCGCCACCAAATCCCCAGCCTCAGTCACTGCAATTGCAGTTGCTGTAGTGAACTGAAATTTGTGATTGTCACAGATCCTCTTCTCCCTTGCCTACAACCCCCCATACACGAAAGCAGACATTTAAATTATTGTTGGAAACTTATATTTGTTCAAATTATATAAATTGGCTTAAATTGCGTTGGTAGAAACTTGAAACTGCAGTACAGTTTGCGGAAGAAGACGGGCGGAGAAGAAGGGAAAGTGTGGCTTCCTTTAGGAAAAAAAAAAAGGAAAAAAGAATACAGAATACAGAATACTGAATACTGTAACTGATCTTTATTGTTTTATTGGAAGTTGGAGAGAATTTAAAATTTACATGATCATTGTGAGTTGATATCGCTTCAATTTTAATTTATTTATACACTTAACACTTAATTGTACATATTCCTAATCTTGTAATAAAGAATGATGAGAAAACCAAGGATGACGCAGCAGCAATTCCATGGGCATCGTGCTCTGCTGCGGCTTCGAGGTTGGCCAAGCTCCCCACCTTCATCCCTCTCCCTGCCAAATGAATTAATCCATCTAATTAGCATTAAAAAAATTCTGAATTTAATTAAGCAAGTTCCCTACGTTACGTACTAATTAGATACCTTGGTGTCAGCTGAGGGATTGCTAAGGTTGGTGCTGCATCTGGCTGCGGAGGTTTGGATACTGCTGCCGGCGCGCGTTGGTCGACAGATGCAGTTACGGCCTTTGGCGCCGGTTGTTCGTATCCATCACTTGGGACAGCCACATTCTTTGCCTGCATTAACATACAACGTGTATTTTACGGCCTGTTTAAGAGTGATTATGGCAGGGTCAGAATCACGAGACGTACCAATTTCCTAAAGAGGAGATTGTAAAACATATGAATGTAGGTTTCCTTGGCTAACTTTTGCGCGTCTCTCAACTGCCTCCAAAATCCATAAGTTGATCCCATGTTCAACACTTTGTTTGCATATATCTTCCATGTATAGCTGCAAGAAAACCAAAAATCAATAAGATCATGCACAATAGCAAACCCTTTTGCTACAAGTGCGTTTAAGTGTTCTTGAGGTTTAAAACGTAGTTAGAAATGCTTTTCGTTATTGCAAAACACTTTAGTTATTCCAAAAACAGTCTCAAATAGGCCTGCAGTCATACCATTCGTTTATACGCTGCAGACCGGCAGCTGACATCTTCTTCCAGTATTCGCCATCCGTCTTGCATTTCTCAAAGAAGTCAGCAATCTTGTTGCTGGATTCATCACCATTGTTGGGATCAATATGGAAACCTGAGACGCCATCCACAATGATTTCTGCAGGGCCTCCTTGGTTGGTTGCAAATGTAGGCAACCCACAGTTCATGGCCTCAATGACTGTGAGACCGAACGCTTCGTACAGCGCAGGCTGCACGAAAGATCCCTTTGTGTCTGCAATGCACCGGTACAGCTCCCCATTTCGGTATCTGTCAGTCTGAGCCGCTATCCATCTGAACTGACCGCTAAGTTGATATTCTTGCACCAAGGCATGCAGTTTCTTGATTTCAGCAATTTCTTCTCTGTCTTTGGATTTAGATGGATCGAAGAATCCCCCAACGATTACAAGATTGACCAAATTCCTCAGCCTCTTGTTCTTTCCAAACCACTCAACGAGTCCTGTGAGGTTCTTCACTGTGTCCAGCCTTGCCATTGAGAATATGATCGGTTTCTTCTGGTCTGCCAAAAATCCTCTGTTCCAACCATGTTTTATTTTTCAAGAGTTTTCATTAAGAAATTGCCACAACAAATGTGCAAGAATTGACAGATGTGTAAGAATTAATTACATGTGCTCATCGTTTTCCTCTTTCTTGTAGAGTAGTTCTTCGATGGCAGGTTGAAACTTGGTAAATCGTTTTTGTTTCTCGGAGTAGGGAAAGTAGACGGATTGGTCAGCACCAGGGGCAGCAATGTTGAACTTTGGATCAAACACATCAATGCCTGACACGACTCGATAAAGTCCTGGCATTGTAAATGCTGTATGGCTTTCGTACTGTCCAGGTCGGTCCTTGCTGCAAC